TTGTATTCGTCTTTTTGCAGAATATTCTGTATGTTATTGTTTTCTTCTTAGGCCGTCATTTGGTCTTCGTCAAACAACAAAGTAAAGTTAATGGTTAAATTTTCTTTTTAGAACTATTAAAAAATGTAATTTACGACCAAAACAAAATTCATTACCATTAAACTTAAGTAAAAAAAGTAATGTCATTAAAAAAAATTCCCGGGAGGTATAGACAGGTATAAAAACATCAAAAAACACTTCTCTCTTAACAACTTAACGCTGAATAACAGTGACATTGAAAGATATGACCTGAAAGAAACAAAAATCAATAAAAAAAACATCGTGTGTGTTATGTTCTTAGGTATGAAATCATGGTTTACTTTGAAATAAATTTTTATAATTTTTCATATATTTCATTTTTGTTTTAACTAAAAACTGATATTATTTTGTCCTCTTTTTTCTCTCTTGTTTTATTAGTTACGTTTTGTTGTTGTTTGGTTGCCTTCGTTATTTTTTTTTATTATTATTATTATTTCTCCTTTTTTTATCACCTGGGCTTTAAATTCATTTCAAATAAACTTGAATTCAAAAATTATTATTTTTTTAAAGATGTACGTAAAGAAAATGTGAGAAGAAAACTGAATGAAATTGCATCCGTTTGGCGTGTATTTATGAATGTCTCGAATTTGTTTTCATCTTTTCCAAGCTAGCAAATAGTTTTGCGCTTCGCAAATGTTTCATTCCGTTAATATTTTGCTAGACTTTTATTTGTTTGTCTTTTATTTTCTTTAAATTATTTAATTAATGCAAACAAATTGTTTATTTAAAACAAAGAACGAAAAAAAAAAAATCTTGAAATAATCATATCTTTATTTTTCATAATTCGATCAGTTTAAAATTTGATGAATAACAAGTGAGTGCTTGTTGCAGCATTCGCTGACAAACTGATAATATTTATCTTTTTTGTCTCTATTTAAAATATTGGATTGCAAATCAAAATATTGCACATTTGAACTTTTTAAACACATCGAGAACGAATCGACTGATGTGGTTCGGTGATAATTCTATCATCGATAATGGTTGGTGTGATTGATGATGATATATCGTTCGCGTATTATGTTAAGGTGTTTCTGTTTTTTTTTGGCAGTGAAAACAATCATTTAATTATCTCAGTGAAGTTATACAGTGACACCGTTTATCGGACGCCACAGTTCGTCTTTCATCTCGCGGAATGCAATTATTCTATACACTAAATAAGTATTCTTTTTTTTAACAAAATTTAAACATAAAACAGAATAAAAGTGATTTCATTTTTTTTTCATTCTGTAAGACGAGTTAATTAAATTATTAACTTATGTGGTTGTGGTTGTTAATGTTTGGTTATCAAGGAAACACACGATTTATTGACTGCAGACATAATTATTATATATGTTTTGGTTTTTTACTTTCTGGCGCATTCACATACGAAAAACAAGAATAGCAATGAAATGTATGGTTTACGGAAATTGGTTTTTCGTATTTGTTGTCCTACATCTAAAGGGTTTTTTTTGTGTTTGTATGTCTGTGTCCGTTTAAATTATATCTTCCATTTAGATTGTTTCCGACTCTCACTTAATGTTTATTAATCTTCATTTTGTGTTACATCAATGTTAGTTGTATATGCTTTCTCTCCTTATTAGAAATATAATCATTCATTTTTTTGGTATTTATTCATTTCTTCATATTAATAGATTAACATATGAATTTAATGTTGCTGCTGTTGCCCATTGTCCTTATTTTACTTCCATTCAATATCGTGTGTGTGTGGGTTGTTTTAAATGCAATTTTTTTTTGTATACCTCACCTAATAATATTTTTTTTATTTTTATATGTATAGCCATTTCTGTTGACGCAAAATGTGCACACACACGATTAACATGATGCTGTATGTTTGTGTGCTATGATTGCATATATTACCATTTTCTTCATTTACTGAAAACAGAATCAGCGAGCATTAGATGTTTTCTTTCCGTTGTAAACCTACAAGAATTTATCTACTACTCTCTTCCTCTCTTTCGTTTTCTTTTTTTTTGTTAAATCAATCATTTTCACCAAAATATAGCTCTTTTGACGTGTAAGTGTGTTTGTTTTATCCCTTTTTTGTCACTTTTATGTTTATGTTCTCTCTGTGTTCTGTTTATTACTTTTTTCATATTGTTTTCCTTTTGTCCTATACAATTGTTTTGTCTGCTTGTCGCATTCATAAAATGGAACGGCTCATGCCATTCGAAATGTATTTACAAAAAAACATTTAGTGTGTGAGTGTGTGCATTATCATATTCATTACTTCTGTCAAACATTTGGAGTGCTCGCGATCGATTTTATTGCAAACATGTGCACATTTCTCTCAACCAAAGTGACCCAAGTTGAATTTTAAATGGAAAGCATTGTAAATACTTGAAGTAACTTGAACAATTGGTTAATACCGGGGACAATTTCTTGAATTTTTTTTTCGAGTATTATCGCTTCTTTCGTCCCGGTTCTTATACATATGTGTCATTCACTGGCCATAAAAACTCAAGTTCTTCAAAACTCAGGCCAGAAAAAACCTTTTTTCAAATAAAAGAAGTAAATTTCTTGAAATGTGCAGCATACGTTCCTGGTTTCAAATTTCAAGACATTCACTCCAATTGTTTTGCAGAGTTAACGAAACTGATCTGTATTATTGATTTTAGTGAATTTTCTTTTGAAATTTGGTTGAATGAATGATTTTGAGGTTTTGTTTTTTTCTCTTCTTCTTCTTTAAATGTCATTATAATTAAATTTTGTTTTGTTAATACATTAAACCATATCAGATATTGATAGCGCTACGAACAATCCCGCCGGGTGCATTATTACTCGTTCCACCGCACTGCATTCCCTTGTTATTATCACATGCGACAATATTGCCACCAACACTATAACCACCGCCAATTGCACTCTCATCCGCATCGCTACCCCATAATCCAATCGTTGAAATCGCCATTGGACATAGATAAAACAATATGAATAACGTCGCATAGATTGCAACATGCAGCAAAATACACGTCCACACCAATTTGATCTGAAAATAAACAACAACACCATTTATATATGTATACAAATAATGTTGAGAATTTTCAATAGCAAAACGGATGTTTGGATCGGTCAAGAAACACTCAAAAAACCACAAACAATCCGATGTTTGATGAAATGAATCTTTTCATATGACGTTTATGCTATTCCGGAGAGAAAGAACTTAGTTTTGAACATTGACATTCGGACATACTGTCAAATTGGTCTGAATTTTAAAATGGAATATCACTATAATATTCACAAATAAAATTATACTTTTCGTCGAAGAAAAAAGCGCGGAACATTATGAAAAATAAAATGTAATTTGAAATTACCTTTGCCTTGCGTCCATATTTTGTAGTAATGCTTAAGAATGGCACCATTGTTATTGTAAGAACGGTGCCGCACAATATTCCACCTATTAAACCAACAATGTGCTGTTGCCATGGTAATGTACCAATTGCAAATATGCACACTGCCAAAAAGATCAATTTCATAAGTGCCATGTGCGGCCGTTTCAATTGTTTCCAATGGATCATAATTAATAGCACAGCCATAGAAGAAACAACGCCGGCTATCGATGCTAACGGACCAACCTAAAAGACAAACAAACAAATCGAAACAGAAATAAATAACGACATCAACCGTTAGATCTTTTTTTCATACATTTAAGCGAAGCATTCGGTCACACACTCATTTGTTAAAAATTCGTCTGACTAAATATTTATTTTACTAAAAAGAACAGATTTCATTGCAGAAACGGAAAGTAAAAAAAATATCGTCGACAAAAATAAAAGCTATAAACGGTTTATAGTTGGGGTTTTGCATAAATCATCATTTATATATCGTCGAATGAAATTTTTTCGGTGAAGTGTACACCAATGTTCGAACAACACACAATCGCTTAAAATATTTGGCTTAGCCAGCATAATATGGCACCCATACATAGAACTGTGTTCACAAACTCTCGCAAACACCAACATATACAGTGCAATCATGAAAATGGAACGAACGAAAGAAAGTACAGATGAGTATACACATACAATAACAGTATCACTGTCACATTTATAGAACAGCGTGTTCGAAACATGTAAAGGAAGAAAAAAGAGCAACCAGTCGACACATAAACACACAGCTATCAACAGTGCTGTGCACAACAACATTTTTCTTCTCCGTTTAAAATTGATTTTTCAGTTGTACGCTATATTGATCGGCTTCTATTTCTTTGAAGAAATATATTTCGCTTTAAGTCACGTTTAAATTGATTTTATTTTAATTTAAAACGATTTTTTTCTCATTTTTCGGAATAAAAAAGACGACGCAACAACACACGATGGCAGAAAATCCAGATGAAGAACAAAAACGAAAAAAGGAAGAAACGAAGAAAAAAATCGTTCTCAGTATTCTCAATCTGTATGCAAAAAATGGAGGTGCAACACTGCATCAAATAAACAGTAAGTGTGTTTTGTTCGTTTGTCACGTGATAGGTTGATGCTTTTGAGCGTCACTTGACTATGTTTTCACCGAAATAAAACAAACAAAAAAACTTTTTCATGTTTTGTAGAAGACTACTTGGAACAGGAGGGTGAAAGATTGGCACCTACACAATCAGAAGGAATCAGATTTATGGCATCGATGGAAAACGTCCAATACAATGACAATAGTAAATTATACCGATCGTGTTCGATATTATCCCAACATATAAAAAAATTCGTAACCGAACAAAATGTTAAAATTTCATCGAATTATATGGGCAACCGAAATAACTTAAATCGTTCATTCCCATCGCGTCCAATTACGTCGTAAGTTTGTTGCAATTATTTGGAAAACAGGTATGAAAAAAATATGCGTATTTATTTTTCCACAGATATCGAAACGACTACGCGGACGTGACATTTCCAAGCAACACAAATGCCGGCAGACCCGCTGGAAAGATTCAAAGTCGTCGCAAGACTTTGGGTCCAGCATGTTTCAAGTGCGTATTCAAGCATGTTCATACATGTTTATTTTTGAACTATCTATAGTATATAAAATACGTATAAAGCGTACAAATATCGATTAATTTCAATTATTTTAATGAAAAAAAAGGCGCTCGCATTCACCAGAACCTGCAAAAAAACGTCCTCGCAGTTCGACACCGGAAAAAGACAAGCCATCTACATCGAAACGCAATAGAAGTCGCAGTAAGTCACGTCAAAGAGATGATCGCAGTCCAGCGCGTCGGTCGCCACCAAGATGGCAAAATCGTTGTCGCGATATTTCACCACGGTATTCACCTCCATCGAACTATCGGCAAGCTATTTTTTTCACATTTCTTTTAACTATTTTCTTTTCGAATGCCATTTTTTCGAAATAGTTCATTAAGAATATGAATAGTTTCTGAGCAAGGATCCAAAAGATCCAATTACTCCCACTAGAAAACGTTTTTGAAGTTTTATGCATTTTTTAGGTCTGCAATTTCTCCAGAGAGGAAGATAACTAAAGATAAAATGGGATTTTGGACGTGAGAACCTTTTTTTTTTTTGGAATGCCGGAAGATTCACGACAATTTTTTTCCAAAAAATTCGAGAACGTTTTTAAAAGAAAAGAAAATCGTGTGGAAAAAAGTTTTTCGGGAAAAATTCCGGCATTCTCTTATTTGCTCTTCACTTTCTTCACAACACTCTGTTATGATTAGCGATGTCACTTCTTTTTACATTTTGAAAAAGAACATTTTGTGAATCATTTCAATCAGTGGCGTATTTAAGTTGTTGTAGCATTTTGTGATAATTTTTGTTTGAAGTTTAATTTAATTGAAATATTTATTGTAGATCAAATCGCTCGCGTAGCCCAGCACGTAGCTCATCTCACCGACGTTCGCGAAGCCCGAACCGTCGACGATCACGAAGCCGACGCTCACGAAGTCGACCAAGTCCAAAACGAACCAAACGTTCACAAAGTCCAAGCGACTGGAGTTCACGAAGCTCATCACATAACAAACATTCAAACAGTCCAAACAACGGCGGACGTCAAAATTCACCGCCACCAAGCGTGCCAAGAAATGTCCAGTCTTCAAATTCGGAAACAAATGCAGCTACACACTCAAACCAAAATGACCAGACAGCGGGTAAATAGAAAATTGCTAACTTTCAAATCAAATAACATTTGATTTCATTAACAAAATGATGTTCAACATTTCAGAATCCAAAGCGAAAAAGTTCAAATTCACAGTTGTTGGCGATGGTTTTATGTACTACATGCTCTACGATATGCAGCGTAAGTATTTCAACAAATTCAAAAGGAAAACATGTTCAAAAGCATCTTCTTCTTTTTTTTCAAATCGAATTACAGCTGATGCTAAATCGCATTTGGCACTTTGCAATCACAATTTGCTGATTTCTGATGCAAAAAAATTGGTTCACCAGCAACGGGAAATTTTGAAAGAAAAAAAACGCAAAGTGATCATTTCACTTGGTGCCAGCGATTTGCGTTCGAATCGAAAATTTTCGGAAATGCGTCGTGATATCACTGGCTTATTTTTAATGTGCCATGAATACAAGTTGAAGCCATTGATTACAACCATCCTTTGTTTTGACAATATTGAACTTAAGAGAAAGGCCGATCTCTTTAATCAATTTTTATTTGAATGCTTCGAAAATGTGGTGGATATGCGTGACGTAATGAAATCGGGCTTAAGCGAAGTGATGACCGCAATGAACAAAAAGTATGTTGTTTTATATTCAAATTCCCCGTGCCACTTTCAAATTCGAATTTTAAATGTTTCGATACTGTTTTCTCTTCATAGAAATGCAATGAAACCAAACAAGAAGACTTTGGAACTTGGTGCACAACAACAGCTCGTTCTTAAAGTTCCGAACCAATAAGCATAATTCGGCGATTTCTTTTATATGAATCGCATCCTCTGCTTATCGACTAACAACCATAAACTTTTTTTCCAAATTTACTATGAAACGAATCTTATAAATTAGGGATTTAAGTACAATTTATAAACAACAAAAAAATATATATTGACAAAATCAAAAAATAAAATGGTCAATATAAAACCAAAAATTTGGAATAAAACTTGTTAAAAGAAACGATGAAATAAAGAAAATTTTCGAATAAAATGATCATTGTTCAAACATTGAATTGAATCGTATGTATTTTTTATTGTACTCACTTCTGGTTTATACGGCAAAAATATTGCGCTAATTAGATTTCCACCTACACCACTACCAACATACAGTATGGCTGTTCGTATCGGTCCCAGCAAACGCTCCAAATCGGTCAAAAAAATGTGCTGAAAGGCAACGGTGATAACTAAATGTATGATACCGGCATGTAAGCACAGCGACGTAAACAAACGGTAAAATTGATCAGGTGCATCGGGCGATATAAATGGAAACATTCCGCAAATGTCGTTCAAACACGAAACCTACAAAAAACAAAACAAAATATTGATTGGAGTATAAAAATCGTACCAGGATGATGTGTGGCATTGTTCTTAAATGTACCTGTGAACACAAAGACGCTTCCTCGTGAAAATAGCCATTGACAAAGTCACAGAATTCTCGTGTCGTGATTCGGCATTCACCGTAAACACTGATACAACACGGATGACCAATTACCTGCACGAAAATAAATAAATAAATTATTCATTCACATTTTTAAATCGAATTGATCAATCGATGGGAGATGAAGATAATGGGATGTCATTTACCTCGCAAACCATATGCTCAGCTGTGTGATCTTTGTAACGAAATCTTTGTGAAAATGAATTAGTTTTTCGGCATATCGGCCATTTCGTTATGTCATCAGGCCATTCGTATGGTGCTATTGAAGCGGGCGCATCACAATATTTTGGATCTAAACCGCATACTGAACCTGATATGCGACCACCCGGTCCCGATTCTCCCGGACTCCATTTTTTCCACGTTGAAATCGATTTCTGAATGGGAAGAAAACGCGTGTAATTTTTTCATTGTGTGCTTTTTTTACTTCCCAAGAAGCTAGCGAAGAAAACGGGAAACCATTTGAAAAAACCTACCGTTGGATAAAGACCTCTGACACTGCAATCAGCTTGTGAACTTTGCACGCAACCCGAATCATCGTTTCGTATGCAACATGCTGTTTCACGTTCTTGTCGTCTTGTTTTCGCCATAACATCCATTATTTTCAGATCCTTTCTCATGCATGCGGAAAATTTTGCACCCAAATGAACTAAATCATCGCCACGCGGTCCAATCCATATGTTACGTGGCTCTTGATGTTGTACTTGTTGTAAACTCAAACTAGTTACCAGCACTTGGCCATTTTTCTTTTCCATACCAATGCCAACCGGTCCAAAGCCATAACAAATGAGCGTTAGACATAGTACCAATACTTGTACGGTATTTATCCAATAGGTAAAATACGGCCGATGATCATATCGATCATCCAATTGATGAACATGTAATAATTTCAATTTCTTTTGTGTGGGCCGACGCGAATTGTCTTGTACACCATCTAATAATTGTGATGAAATTCGTGTGCCACGATGTAGTGAACTATTGACTGAATTTGGATTTGGTGAACCAGTATTGGTTGAATCAAAGAAAAGTTCATTTTCCTGAAGATTTGGCATTGAAACACCATCAAATGCATCATTCCCACTAAAATCCAATTCGTTTGATTGCGATAAGTCACTTGAATGGGCCGTATGCTGTGGTTGATGATGGTGATGATGTTGTTGCGATGGTGGCAACGGCTGTTGTTGTTGCTGTTGTCCGTTAAATGAATTATTCAAATAGTGCGGTGCAAAGCTACGTGACCATTGACGTTCATTTCGTGGTACTTTCTTTGTGCAAGCTTGAATTGCATATTGTAATCCCAGCCAAAGTAATGATGTTACAGCTGCCTTTCGTTCGATTATTAAGTGTTGATTCACAATCGCAGCATCGTCTTCCAATTCATCATCGTCATCGATGTCAATTTCATCGTCTAAATTATGACGACGCACAATATTATTGCCACTATTTCGATTAATTACATTCACATTGTCACGATCGTAATAATGATGTGATGCCGATACATGATCCACCGGCAATATATCCGGACGATCGCTTTGCTGACGATCACGACGCTCTTCGATTTGAATCTTAAATTCATATGAAATTTGTACGCAATTTTTTTAACATTAAATTTTAAAATTTAATTTTAGCGAGAATGCGAACAGATTTGTTATAGGCACCACGGAGGTGCGGGCACTTTTCTTATAAATTCTTCTCTTTTCTTGCTCTTCCTTGTGCATTCAGGTGTGGCCGCACTTCCCCGATGCCAATAACAGCTCTGAACATGACAAATGGATGAAAATAAAGAATTTACCTGTTTTAATGAACCAAATCGACGTAATGCCAGCCTCTTCTGTCGCTCTGACCATTTAACACGTTCACGCTCCTCGCTCGCCACATCGACACCGAAAAATTTGGCTATCTCCCGTTTTACATACTACGAAAAAAAAACCATTTTAAACATTTTGACTCAAACAAGCTTCAGAAAGTGTCAGCCACAGAACAAAAATGTTTAAAATTAAACGAAAATGTGACAAAAAATGTTGATACCTGTTTAATCTTTTGCTTGCGTGATGAATGAGGTACTTGATCAGATTCATCGGCAAGCTGGGATTGAACTAAGCTCTCTTGTGACTCTAATTGTGACTGAGATTGTTGTGCCGTAATTTGTTGCTGTTGATGTTGATGTTGCTGCTGGATTTGCATTTGTTGAGCTCCTATTACAAAAAAAAAAAAAACAAACACTTATTCTAGTTGTTCAATTTTAAACTGTCTTTTTCTCTCTATTTTCTCTTTCACATTCAATCCTCTCAGTTTTGTTCAATTTTCATTAAATGAATAAAATCAAGTTAAGTTTTTATTCATATCATAAAATAGTTCTTTTTTGCACTTGATTCTTGTCATAATTGCACTTTCGTTTTTTTTTGTCCCTTGAAGAAAAAGAGCAATATATGCATGATTTGCAAGCAATTTGGCACGTTACCTCTCATACTTTGTCGACCTGTTTTGAAAATGTAAACACTGTTGCATGTTTACACACTAAAATTGATTAACGAAATTAAAAGACGTGTTGCAATTGCTCTAATAGCATCATACGTGCTAAATTTTGTGCACATTATAAATTGGAGATGGCCTTGAAATATTGCTTTTTATTGACCAATAAAAATCAACTTGATTTTTATCACCCGTTTATCGTTCTTCATTTTTCTCTCTCTGTCTCTATTCCTCTCTGAAACACTTTTTCTTCACGTAACGATAATAATATTCGTCTTTAAAAATCAATCAGCAGAACGTGTTGAACACGTGTTTTTTCCGTGTATTTCATGTATTTCACATTATTTTAATTGTATTCGTCATTTCGACGATCGTTAAAATAATTTTTTGAATAGTTGGAAAAATAATGGTCGAAAACTTTTGCCATACTCATTTATATTAAAATATCGAGTCGATGTGTGTGCTACAGATCTACGTTCGAAATTCAGAAGGCGGGGAAATTGGTTTTATGTGCGAAATTTTACACACATAAATGTACTTATAGATTTTAAATTAGTTTCATTTATACCATCTCTGTTGAATGATTGTTGCATCGTTTGTGGCTGCGGTTGTTGTTGCTGCTGCTGCTGCTGCTGATGGTGATGTTGCTGCTGCTGTTGCAGTTGTACCTGTTAAATAAGAGAGATATTAAACTAAACAAATGCTTTTTTCCTCAATTTTCTAACTTGAGTTCAAGGCTTTGCCGAGTTCAATTTTGAGATGTGCTTCACATTTGAATTGTGAATTTTAAATAAAATTCCACACATTTGAACGGCCAAAAGTTTGATGTGCACTGTGCACGAAACGATAAATAAACAAACCTGTCGAAGACCAGCTGAATTGGATGACGTTTTATCGAAATCGCCATTGTCTGAGAAGCCCAAGAAAACGGTTTTGTTATTGATATTCTGTGGAATTGGGCTAACTGGCCCAGTTTGGGTTGTTTGATGAACACCAGTTGTGCGTCGCATCGTATTGCAATGCAAACATGTTCCATTGCCTGTATTTTGTGCTGAATTATTCATTGAATTTGATGGTATTATTGCTGAAACTGAAAATTAATTTCGAATCGAAGACAGATTGAGAGAAAGAGAAAAAAAAAACGACAAGAGAAGAATTATGAAAATGCTTCATCGGCACAATAAAATTTGTGAGAATGGCACTATGGAATTTTCGTTCGAACAATACCGTATGAATTAGCAGCGTTCAAAGTATGATGATGATGATGTTCAAATGGTACATTGGTATGCACTAATTCCTGCGATTCAACTTGACTATGTGATGCTTGCGATTGCTGTGGATGATGATTACTGTTTATAATGGCATTTTGTTGATTCATTGACTGTTGAAAATAGTTAGAAAAATCGCATTTCTTTTTAATTCATCAAGACTCGCACTTGTTGTTTAGAAAAAAAAAAAAGAATGAAAAGGACTATAAGTGATCTCATACCTGTTCATAAACATTTCGAACGGATGATCGAACACTGGATGAACCACTTTTTCCGCTGCTCAAAGACAATGTCGATGTGGATGATACCGATGGTACTAATGATTTTGGGGAAGCCGTTGCTGACATTGACAGTTTAGTTGAATTCAATTGACGAGCCCGAGGCGTCGTTGCGAATGCATTTGAATTTTCTGAAACAAACCACAATGTACATCGATTTCAAATGCACACAATTTAATTTGCATTGATTAAAAATTGATTATTCACCTATATTCTCAAGATTTGGGCAGCATTTCATGCGATAACGATAAGATGATGTAAGAGTATTGCAATTTGATTGTGATGAATTTCGTGGTGTCTGTTGGATGTTTGAAATTGATTTGTTAGCCAGTTCTAGAACAAAATTTCACATCTGAGAGAAACATACCTGTTGATGATGAGGCAAAACAACCGTTGAATCGGAATAAATGTCTGTTGCGATCGTATTTGTGCTTGGAATGTAACGTTTAACCGGTGTATGTACGGTTGATGATAAATAACCGCTTAGATAAGTGTCCGTTGAATTTGTCACAATTGAATTATTTGTATTGCCAACTAAACCGCGATTCACCACATTTCCATACATATTCACTGAATTTGAATCAATGACATTGTTATTCAAACTACCACCATTCGATACCAACGGCGCACCACTCGCTAAATAATGTGGCGGCGGCAAATATCTATCACATTTCGATGCAACGTCTCGGTAGCGATCCGGTATCGAATTTTTATATCTGAAATTTTTTCGACGCAACATTTATTTATATACGTCTTTTGAATGACAAAAAATCTAAACTCAAAAGGATCATCAATTATAAACACATACCTGAGTTGCGATTGCTGATGAGTTTGATGATGCTGTTGTAAAAGAAGGTGGTGTGAAAGAAAAAACACAAAAATCCATTAAAAATTCAAAGAAATCTAACAAACTAAAGAAAAACTCGTAAAAAATGTGTGAATGACGAAAATTGTCGTTAATTAAATCAAAGTGGATTTTGAGATTAGCACTTAATAATTATACTTCTTTCTGAAGTTAGATATTAAGAAGAGTAAAAAACGAATTGCTGCATCTACAAAGAGAATTGAAGGGGAGTTTTTGAATCCACTCGGATATAGCTCCACTTTAGGTATTTTTACACCCCTTTTTTAAAACCATTAATTATCATATCGATTGATTGTTACCTGTTGATGATGTTGTGGTGGAATTCCAATAAATCGATCGCTATTTGGTGCTGGTGATGGTGGCGGTAAACAGCACGTTGTAATTTCGGGATCATAAATATCAGATGCTGGATGATGAATCGATAATCGGTTTGGTGTACCAGATGGTGGTGGATCAAAAAATGCCACCGGAACATTACAATTGCGTCGATAATTTGAAACAGATGCATTTTGGTCGATTGATTGTGCATAATTGCTATTATTTGCTAAGCTGTATGAGTGATAGCCGTTCAGTGTTGTACTGTTCGGTGACTTAATTTGATTGTTTAATGTGTGTGTTGTTGGCGAGGAATTTGCGGGTAGTATATGGCTTGTGGTGCTGCAACTGTCGTCATCATTTGAATGTGGCTGATCGGAAAAGTTGCCATCGATGCTTTGTATTGATTTATTTGTGATCTGAATTATTTGTGAAATAAAAATCCAAAATTTACTTCGTAGTCAACTCGATAACATTTATTCTATAACCAATAAGTAAAATATATACAACGACTGTTTTACCTGAATATCCTTTGATTTGCGCCGTTTGATGGTACCACCGTTGATCACACCATTTATGTCACAGCAATTATTCGTTTGTGTCGATGTGGATGTAATACCCAGATGGTGATTATTGCTCGTATTTTGTAGATCATGGCATTGGTTCACATTTCCGTTGTGAATCGATAACGGTTGATGATGATGCAATTTCTTTGGCGACAATTGCTACAAACGCACAAAAACAAACGGAAATATACGATCATCATCAATTCTCATTGGAATTTCTTTCGTAATATCCCACACAATGTTGACTCATTAATGTCAATCAATCGATTTCCATTTATATTCAACATCAATTTTTATTCAACAATTTTAAGCATTCAGTTAATACACATTCACTTCATCAATTTTCAACAACTTTTTGTTAACGCAATTCAAAAACCGAACGAAAAAAGCACTCCGTCCAGAGTGATGGAAAATAAAAAGTGAAGAGAGATGACACAAACTTACCGAAGACATTCAGCTGATGGACTTTTCCGATTCCAAGTCCAATTTACAATTTTTTTTCCCGTTTTTGTATATCCCTTAGACGTGTACTTTACGGTGTTTCTGTATAACAGAAAAAAATTATATATGAAAAATTCATTAGAGTTGCAATCTTTACAATGAATATTTATATTTTTCTGTATATTTTATTTCATCGTTGAAAATCATGTTTTTGATCTCATTCATTCGTTTTCTTTTTCTTTTGCTCAACTTCATTGCAAAGTGGATTTTTTTCTCCCAAAATTCGATCTGAAGAATTCCAAACAAAGGGACAAAAAGCCAACGATGATTGAAAAAAAACCCTCGAGTTTCATCACTTGTTGTCAGTTACAAAAAAGCCCCCGAGAGCGGTACGCTTTTTTTCTTTCTCTCTCTCTGACCACAAAAACTTGTCTAACTAAAATCAATGTGATTTTTTTTAGTTCCTTAATTAGTTTGTGACTGAGTTAAAACTTTTCAAAGTTTCATCTCAAGTTTTAGAATGCATAAATTTTCAAGCAGTTTAGGTTTTAATGACTTTTCGAAACAAAATTGAAAATGATTATGGGCATGAATTGTTATTTCTAAATCGACGAAAAAAAAAAAAAGAAATCCAATCCACATACACCGCATGTTTATATGTGATAATTATTATCGAAGATTTCAACATTATTTAATGTGTGTAATGTATACTGTTTAGGTCACAACAAATTACAATAAATAATTACCAAAATAATTAAGCTTTCGTATGAAAATGCGACTTATTCTAAAGTTTCTTCTGTTGTTAGATTATGAATGCCTTTTCTGACTACAGAACAATTTCGACAAAGAAAATGTTATTCGATATAAGACGAAAAAAGAAACAAAAGAAAATTGAATGAAAACAAAATAAAAAGCGATACGAAGAAAAAATGTCAATGATAGCCGTACCGCCTAAACAATTCGATTGTGTAAGATTGAGTAAGGAGTATTGTCATTCGGTCTTACTGTCGTGCGTGTGGCTTCACATGATCGGATTTTTGATATTGTGGCAACAAATTCGAATGAATTGAACTGACAAAGAAAACTGAAAGGATATATTACGGTTGTGTGGGCTATAAATAATTTTTTCGGCATTTTTCCGATATAATAATTTGGGGAGGATTTTTTCTCTCGGTCTGAGACAGATTTTCGATTTCATTTCTATGTGTGTGTGTTTTTCAAGTGAAAAGAAGAAGAAGAAAAAAAACGTTGGTGTCTACATGCATATATAATTCAATGTATAACAATGAAATTGGTTCCAAAACACCCAGAGACAGCTGATCGAATTATTTCGGTCGTCGAATGAATGGGTGTGTATGTATTTCTATCCAATTTCCATCCATGTTTCTTTATCTCTCTGCCAATAATTTCGATGGAAATAAATTCAAGAAAATCACTTGATGATGATGGCGATATATATTTCTTTCATCTGTTATTTCTTTTTGATTCGCTTCTTTTTCTCCATATTACAAAAAAAACGAATGTCGCAAAAAAAAGAAGAAGAAGAAGAAGCAAAAAAAACAACATTGGACACCCATTGACATACTGCAATGACTTAGATTATTATGTACAATATTTTCCATATAATTTGTATCGTAGTTGTTCTCTTTTAAAAACATAATTCTTGGCGAACTTCTAGCTCTTCTTTTAATTAAATGGTATTACACTTCAACCGTTCTTGAAGCAAAAGTATTTATGCAAAGTGGAAAATGAAATGGAACAGTTTTTGAGAACCGTACAAAGGAGTATATTTTCATATTCAAAATCATGGCGGAAATATTAATAAATAATCTGCATTGTTGTTGGTTTTTTTTTTGCCTTTACATTTACCTTTTATTTTAGCGTTCACATCATCATTCGTTATTTATTGTATATGTGTGTTGTGCGGGCGCTTTCGATGTTTTATGTTATTTTATGGTACATATGAGTCTTTGTTTTCATAAAATGCACACTCTGTTGCGATAATTTACACGATAAATTTTTTTTTCTCCACCGTTATTGGTAGTTTTATTTTCTTTTAATTTCGACCAAAAGAAAACAAATAAATAATAAAAACAATTGAAACAAGAGCGATGAATCAAGTATGCTGGTGCAACACACACTGATGCTAGTTGCGGATACTGAATTGAGCTATATATTCCAACTAGTCGTCGTCTCTAATTATTGAACATTATCACTTTGCATATTTATTGAAAATGAATTGCCTGTGTGTATGTGTGTACGTAGGATTTAACTAATCATAGATATAACAAATTTTGATTTCGTTGATTTTGTGTTGTTGTTGTTTGCAGTTGTTGTTATTGAAGAAGCAAAAATGAATCGTCACGTGTGTGCGTGTCATGAATCGGTTTGCCAATTCCGAATTGTCGATACAGATTCACTTTTCATTTGAAGATCACGATGATGACTTTCGAAAAATTCCGATACTGATTTATAATGAACATAGTCGAAAAAGAAGTGCAAAACACATGAAAATCGGAAACTTCACTGTTTGTCGTCGATATTTATTGAGATTGTGCCTACACACTAAACGAGATTTCGTACACATAAGGTGAATTAGCTTTTAAAGCTCCTTTTACTTGTCTTATTTGCGCCTATGTACTCTTTCTCTCTCTCCTTTTACTGTATCAATATTGGCGTATATGATGTGGTAGTGTGTGCACTTTATTTTGTTGTTGCTGTTGTTCTTCACTGTCTTTATTGTGCCGTCGCCTTTGGTCCAGTTGATAAGATATATATTTTTTAAATTGAATACTTTGTGTATTACCGATCCATTTACGAAACACAAACTGTACACAAAATTTCAACTGTTCAACTATGCATGAACATTATATTTTTTCACCATCGATTTCTTATTGGCACAATTCAAACAAACTACGAAGTTTCCTCGAAAAATAAAATGAATAATCTATGTATGTATAAAAATGAGAAGCACAACACAAAAGCGAACTCATCCACGCAAAAAAAAAATAGAACATCAAATAGCTAAACGCATGTTTGATTATTTTATCTTAATCTTCACACAATTTTTTTTATTGGCAATTTTTATTGATTTCGATTTGCAAGTTCAATCTGAACAAATTTCACTGGTTTCTGTGTTTTTGATATCACTTATTTTTGTGGGCTATTTTACTGTGATTCAGTTTTAATTTTTTTTATTTTTTGATAAAGAAAAAAATATACATATATGTAAAAAAAATGTCGTCAACGAAACTTCATTCGTAGTCTGTCTTGCACACTCAATACAGAATATTGTTCACTATGGAGAGAAAGAACCATTTTCCATTTTCATCAAATTTTTTCAGGATATTTTGACTTTTTCGTGTAGTTGTAATGGTGCATGTATGTGGTGGATAATACACACACACACATATTCTCTCACTCAATTCGTCTCCCCTTGCCCCCTTTTGCTGTGAAACTGGATATTTATGTTTCACTTTTAAACGCGCATAACAAGAGTAGAAGGAATGGAAGAGAGTGAGCGAGCCAGAGAATGGTGATATCGTATATCTGTGACATGCGAATTCATGGCACAATTTGTTCTTATAATGTATGGGTATTTGTTCCATCAACGGCTGCTGTGCTAATACACATCAAATCAGCAACAAAAATAAATCACCCCATGCATAGAAACGCTTGTGTCAGGCGAAAACGCGCTTGTTCAAAAATAACACTCAATGTTGACACATGCATGTGTGCGTGTGGCTGAGAGTTGAATTATCTTTTTTTACGTATGCTCCCGAGAGCAAGTTGTCGAAAAGTTTCTATATGGAATATGAAGACCCTAACGTCAAATCACAAATACTCACAATTCATACGCATATACACTCACAAGTGCATACACACATTGAGAGCATGCGCCGTGTTTACGACAAGAATTTAGAACCCTTCTCTTCGCGGTTGGTTGAATTGGTTTAGCAATTTGACATAAATGGCAATAATGCGATTTGGTGTTTGTTTTTTTCTTTCGCTTCGATGTTCAAATTTCGGGCTTTTAATTTTTCAACCACACCAATGCAACAGCGTGCTTAAAATGAGCACAATTTTAATTGATATTGCGTGTTCCGTCATTCATACACGTCCTAGGTTCCTATTGACATAAATTCAATCTCTCTCCCTCATTCTCAAAGCATACTTACACAAGTACATGCCCCAAAAGAAAAAAAAAAACACATAGAATCCACAACTGCCCATTTAATCTCTTACCATATGATTTCGATTTGCCTCTCTGCATACGCACCAGATCTGTGAAATGAGAATGAAAGGAACGGGGGGTGTTTTTTTTTCTCCACTAAACGAATTGCTACTAATATGTATGTGTTTTTTTTCTTTCATTTTATATTGGTGTGTTTTTTATGGTTGTTTCTTTTACAAAAAGAAGAGAACAACATACAGAGATAGAAAAACAAATAAAAGTGTCTAAAATCGATCATATTTGTTTACCCCACGCCCTATCCGATTTAAAAATTAAATAGTTTGGCGTTTTTATCTCTTATACTTGCAATTGTATTTATTTCTCGTGTTCCAGAGCGTTTACAGTTTTCCTCATTTTGTTTAATGCCTAATATTTTGTGATCGTTTTGTGAATATCATCATCATTATATGTTTTTGCAACGAATTTTCTCTCATTTGACGAAATGAATCGCCCGAAAAAAAAATTATCTTCGTATGTGGGTTTGTTTTTTTTTTCTCTCATTTATTTTTCCATTAATTTATTTGTTTAATCTAAAAGATACAGTATAACTTAATATTTGCATTCCTTTACAAAAGAATTCAATTTTATTCTTTCTTAAGCACAAGTTATCGGGCATATCACCCGTCAAATCCTGTTGGCTAACACCACCATCGCTCGTCAAACATCGAGACGGATAGCGCGAACAGATTTTTTTTTTGACCGGCCCGACAAAAGGCGAGTTCGGTTTGTCAGCCCACAAGCTTCGACCGATTACATCTCAGACACCCTGTTTTGATGTATATATAAATATGTTCTGTTTTTTTTTAAAGACTTGTGTTGTTCTATTTTTTACTCTTCTTTTCTTTTTTTTGTATTTTTTCTTTCAAGTCAGCGTAAGTGTTGCGTCTGCTCGGTTTATTTTTTTTTATTTTCTTCAGATTTAATTTTTAAAGATTACTTTCAAAAATATCTAATTTTATATGCATATAATTAGAAGTTTATTTATTACAACTTTTTTCTCTGTGTATTTTTTTTCTTCAAATTTTTTTTTCACTTTTTTCCTACTTTTTATTTATTTAACCAGTGAATTTATTTAGCATCTCCTTCGTCTGAATCGTACGAATCTTCATCAACAAACTTAAGGAACTGTGTTAAATTTTTAACTGCAACTCCTGTAAAATGAATGAAGAAAATGTTGGGTTAGAATTTTGCAATTTTGAAAAATATAATTTTTGAGAGCAAAAAAAAAAGAGACTAGAAAATGTATGGGATAACATACCTTTGCCCAATGGTTCGCTAGTTGATGTCTCCCATTGTTTAAAAACGCTCGCAGGAACAACCTCATCATCATATAATTTGGAAAACACTTTATGCAAGAAACCTGGAAAACAATTGATTTTGAATTATTTAAAATGTTTCACATAGATTTAAAAGATTTTTTTTTCTTTGTTCAAAACAATATAGATAATTTACCTGATGGATGTTCCAATTCATTGCTCAGCAATTGAATGGCGTACAAGGATTCCAACTGTAAGTCCTGCTTCTCACCAATATAACCTTTCAAAATGTCTATACTATTTGGGAGATATTTATCATCCAGTGAATAGCCGGCTTTCGTTTTACTTAGCGCGGCTTCAATCAACGTTTTTGTTAATAAACGTATACTTTGTTTATTAATTGTAGGCACATGAATCTGTAAATGAACCAAAACAATTTGAAATCGGATTTTTTATTTTCATAAAACGTGGGTGGATATTGTGAAAAAATCCATCACCATTAATAATTACTCACCTTAATATATTCAGCAACTTCTTTTTCTGTAAAACTGTCTTTGCGAACCAATTGATAGATTCTTTGTCTAAACCGGTCATTTGGTATTTTGGTACTAGCTGGTGGCAGCGATTCTTTTGGATCAACTACAAATTTCAATTTCTACACGAACAAAAAAAAATCAAATAATTAATCAAGATGATGGATAATGAAAAAAAAAATCTTCAAAAAATGTGTTACTTACATTTTGTTCCACAAAATTAGCGATGTCACTGCCATCTGCAACAAACTGTTCCCATTTACAGTCTGACCGTTTCCACAAATCACGTAAGTATTGTGGGCCATATTCGTATGCCATGAATGGCAATAAGCTTGCCAAAATCTTAGCACGTGATTCTTCTGCCGTGTTTTTCAAGTCATTCAATGTGATAATATTGCTGAAGAATGCGACCGCTGTTAAAATAATCGCGTTAAAAATGAAAATTAGTTAATGTATTTCTTTTCCCTCAATGCATTTGAATTAATTTAAATAAATAAATGAATCTACTTACATATCATCTGAGCCGTCCATTCATAAATTTTCGGCACGTCCATAACAATGTCGGCCAATAAATTTATGTACTCTAACAAACCTTTAACATAATCTTGTTTAGTAATTTGGTTATTGTTAAGCCAATAGGTACAAATGGTGCCAATAAAACAGCGTTTCTCTTCCGTCAAACCGGATATATCAACAGCACGATTGTGTAAATCGCGTACGAGTGCCCATCGATGATTTTTATTAATTTTATCTAATTGTGGGGCTTCGTCTAAATCGTTATAGCCGATGATTTCATTCTTTTCAACTTTATTCAGCAGATTTTTCAGTGTCGAACTTATCAATTTTTCGGTTTGTTCACTAATGTCTTCGGATAATTTCGGATCGGAAGATGACGGCGTTAGCGATGATGATGACGGTAAATTGCTTGTTGATAACGATGTTGTTGATGATGATAACGATTGGTTGTTCAACTGAATTAATTATTTATCGAGAAAGAGAGCAAAATAACAAAAAATATATCAGAATTTTTAGCACATTACTGGAAAAAAGTAGACAGTAATTTAAGAGATACTTACTTTATTATCACTACGAATACCCCTTTGCGATGACGACGATGACGAATTTGAATTCAATGGCAATGTATTGTATTGCATCTGTGGTGGACGCATTTGTAAACTACGTGAGGAATATGAATTTCTAGCTGCCGAATTATCACGTGAACCATGTTGTGAACCACTTCTTGAGTGTGGACCATCTATGAAAAAAAACTTAGCTTCAGTTTCTTTTCTTGATTTTGAATCATTTTTTAAAATTATGAAATTGAATATCTACCTCGTTCACGTTCCATTGATCCCTTTGAATGGTATGGCTCCTTTGAACGATTACCGGACATTGGTTTGTAATCTGATTCAAGCGCTGAAAAACTATTTGTTAGGCTTGTTGTTGCCGTTGGTGCAGCATTTAATTTCCATTGGAATTGCTTTGGTGTACCCAATGATGTAGTTGTAATATCTTCTATTTTCTGTAAATTGTCATTTCATGTGACGAACGAAAAGGTTTTATTAGTAAATTAAATCGAATGTGAAACATAAAATTTGGCCAACCAAAGGTTGATAACAATCAATTTTTGTCGTTAACTTACAGATGTAGCCCTGAATTTCGTTGGATCAAATGATGTGCTATTGTTGCCACCACGATTTTTATTGCCAACCTGTTGAATCCATCCGTCGTTATCTTGGTAATTGCCTCGACTTAATTTGTTGTTGTTATTATAGCCACTACCTGACATACTACCACCACGTGGCATGCTACCTCGATCGTTGCGATCTCGGTTGTCTTTTCGCATATTATTGTTGCCCATTCCGGAGCTTGGCATTGTGGAGGCAAGCATTTGAATTTGCTTAATGTATTGCTCCTCTGCAAAGTGTGAGAAAATTTATCAAATTAATTTGAATTCTTTGAGAAATGAAAAGCAAAGAAAAAAAAAAAAACAAAAACACGAACACATACCCCTCACTTCCTTTTGGATTTGATCCATTTTCTTTGGATTTGAGTCGGAACGACGTGGCACCCATTTATTTTTTCGCAATTCAATCACATCCATTAACATGAAACGAACGCGGCTGCTAATTTTCGATTGTTTTTTATCCGATGCAATTTGTTGCATTTTTTGGAAGTGTGGCGTTAGATCTCGATAATATTTTTTATCAAAATCTTCATCACCACTTTTGAATTCCATTTTTTGTCCAACGGTTGTCAATAATTTGCACAAGCATTCAAGTTTTTCTTCGGTACAAATGTTCAACAAAATCATGACACACCATTCCATGATGCTGGTAAGCAACATATTTTGTCGATATAATTCACCAATAAAACGTACCGTACCAACCGAACGCCGACGAAGTTTACGCTCTTCCTCTTCCAATATCATAGTCAATTCCATTTTTCGATTTTGATCGGTCGTTTCGTTGAGTTCAGTCTGAATTGGTTTTAGTTTTTCACGTATCGCATTTTCATTTGCCACATGAGTGTTGAACTCCGTTTGACATTTATTCAGCAATTCCTTTTTGAACACAGCCGTTTTCGTGTCTTTATTGCTCTTATCGCCCGATTTTTGTTCATTTTCTTCGCGCTCTTTATCTTCCATTGGTTTCGATAATTTTAGACACAATTGTGCATATGCTTGTGAAAAGTTTGGCTCATCGATGGCCTTTTCGAATACCAGCGAAATGACACTCGACAATTTTTCGTTGGTATCAAGATTTAATGCTTGCAATTGTTCAAGCAATGGTTCGAATTTTTCCGGTGTTAATTTATTTAAAATACCGCGCACACGTTTGCACAATACCTCAATATTATTTGGATCAACTGGACTGCTGGCCGCTGGGTCTTTTGTTCCAATAAATGATGGTTTCCATGGTGTGGCCGATTCATTTAATTTAACATCTTCGCGCAACGATAAACTAACATGAATCATACCAGATTTACTACCTTTACCACCACCTTGTGACATTTGTTGATTGCCACCGGCACCGCCTTGCGTTGACGGCCGTTTACCATATTGATTGCGACTATTTGAAGACGATTGATTCTTATTGTTATTGTTACCATTTGATGGGGAATTTTTGCGGATGAGCGAGAAACTATCTTGAATTTGTGGTAATGTTTGTGATGCATCCGCATCACGCAATGACATTATTTGCTGGCGATTATAGCACTTTTTACCATCGGTATTGTCCGGTGACCATTGACCTTCTTCGTAATTAAGCAACAATTTTGGCTTCGGTACCGCTGGTACCGTTGGTGGTTGTGGTGCACCAGCAGCCGGTTGTTGCGGTCGAACTGTAACGGTTGCGGTCGATTGTGATGGTGGTTCGACTGCAGTTACTTCTTGTGGTTCCGATGACACTGTCTTTTCCATCTCACTGTTCACGACATTATTGTCGGAATCTTTGTCAACAGCATTATTCAATTGGTTATTATTATTGTTTGCGCTAATGGTATTGGTTAAATTATTATTGATTATTGTTTCGACTAAGCCATCATTATTGGTTACGGAGGCTGGCATGTTGCTGGTTGTTTCCAATTTATCGGAAGCTCTTAAATCATTCTCTGAACTTCGAAGATCAGTCTGCGAATCAGTTTTAGGCGTGGCGGTTACTTGTTTATTATTTGAAGATTTTTGTTGTTGTTGATGTTGTTGTGGCTGTTGTTGTGGTTGCGGCTGTTCAACAACAGTTTGCGCAATTGTTTCCGCTATTTTGGCCGGTTCAACAACTTTCGTCGGCGCTTCAGTTTTTGGAGTGACCGCTTTTTGACTATTATTATTGAATTCTACCGATTTAGCATCTAATTTATCATTTTTTTCTGCGTTCGTTTCTTTATTACTTATGGACATCGAATCGAGGGAATTGATTAATTTATCAGTCTCATCAATTGATGTATTGGTCGTGATCTTTGTCTTTGTTGTATTTTCTACATCGGCAACTTCTGTTGGTACGTTCACACTGCTACTATTGCTCATAGTGCTTTCGGTGACTTTTTCCTTATTGCTATTATAAAAAAATTAAATAAAACAACCGAAACATATCGAATTAAAATAACCGAACCAAATCACCGAAACATATCGAATAAGATACTTCATTAAAATATCATAAAAACAAAACCATCATTACCAAAACCTGGCAAATGATTGAAAACCTCCCATCGCATATGCTTATCTTTTTCAAACAAACAAAAAAAAACCCATAGAGAACTTACCTTTTTGTTACACTTTCTTCCGAATGCGCTTTATTCGCTTGTTGTGGAGGCTGTTTTGTTTTCTCGTTACTTCGAGCGCTGTTTGTGTTCTCCACTTTTGTTTGTTCTTGTTGTACGGTTACCGGTACAACTGGTTTGGGTTCACTTTGTGGTTGTTCTTTAGCTGGTGCTGGCTGTTGTACATTCGCCACCATATTTGTTGGAGCGTCTGTCGTTTGGGCAGCAGCTTTACCTTTATTTGACGATGGAGCAATATTATGGTTGGCAGCCGAATGTTTCGATTTCGGATTATGTTTTTGTTGTGAATCTAAAAATTTTTTTTTCAATTTTAAAAAAGAAAAAACATTTTAATAAAACAATTTTATTGAATCATCTAATAATATGGTTGCGCGTGAGTTTCATGAAAAATTGATTTATTCGCATACACTCTTTTTTCTTAATTGCATCAACATGACAATAATTCGCATTGAAAGAGTATGATGCTGAGTTAAATTGATGGTTGGCTGTGTGTTTGTGTGTGTTTCAGGTAGGATTATTATGTAGAATTGTGTGATTGATAGAAATCGCATTAAAAAAAAGATGTATTCAACTGTAAATGGAAGGCGGTTTTCTCTTTAGCATCGTGCATCCGGTCGAAAGTCAATAATGACACCGAATAAGGTGATGCAACCAATTTGTATGTGTATCTAATCATATAAAATCCACACTGTCGTCATCAATACAGTCTTTTTTTGTTTAATTATTGATACGATTTAAAAAAAAATGTGCAAACAAATGGTGTATATTTCAAATTGGATATCATTACACTATAACTGCATCAGCGACAGTTTCAAATTGTAACAGATGAACAAATATGAAATGAAAAATACAAAAACTTGTAGAAATGATGTAAAAATTGGTCGAATGTACTCAAAATGAAAAGTGCTCAAGTAATTGATTCAATATGCGGCGCTGTGAATAATGTTTCTTTCAGTTGATCTTTGTTTAGTTTGCGAATGGCCGGTCGCGTACTAGGTGCGTATTTTTAATTTAAATACGGACAAAGACGATGTCGACGACTACGACGACGGCGTCAACGGTTATGGAACATTTTAGCCACCATAATATAAATCGTCGAGTCACATGCGAATATAAAGAAAAGAAGTACACGATGTTTGCAAAGTGACAGTATATGACATATACATGCAGGATGGAAAATGAATACAAGAGATAAAGAGAATGATCGGTCGTAATTCGAGCGCTAAGCGCCGTGTTCTGATACATATATATATATATATATGTGAATTTTCTATGAGCACAAAGCGATGCGATAGACGATAACCTTGTGCTACAAATCGAAAGTAGTTTTTCTATGCTATCGAAATGAACACTTTTCGCTTTTTTTATTTTTAGTCACACTGCTTTTTGGTTTGTGCATTTTAAAAAGTCAATTTGTGTGCACTGTGCGTTGGCCAATATAGTGTGCGATCCGCGTACATATGTGTGTTCTCGTATATATGTGAATTGGATTGTATGTATGCCAGATGGAAATAGTAGTGGTGTGCAAGTGGATTGGTCAACGCTTAAAGGCTGAAATCAAATCATTTCGTCGGTTTGCACGAATAGGCTCAATGAATATATTTAGTCATTATTTCAAGCGGTTATATTTTTCATTGACCATATCAAACAGAAGATCAAATTGTCACCATTCATTTCTTTCTTCATTTTTTTTGTTGGTGTTGAATTCTTTTTCTTCTTTCTTGATTCGTTCGTTCGTACATTTCAACCATGAGTTATTCATCGACATGACTGGATCAATGACATTTTTTAGCCGATCGCTGCCAATTTGGAAATGTCTCTCTCATATATATATATATATTTTAATTTTGCTGTACGAGACGTGTTGCGCAGAATATAGAATGAAAATGTTTCGTGTGTTAATCATTTCATAATAATAATGAAATGACGTATGATCAAATCGAGTCAACGCCAGCGCACTCCGATTAAATTGGCGTTATTGCTCGTGAACGCGCCATAGCCGTTTTTTTCTCCACTCTCTATCTTGCTCTTGCTTGTTTACTTGCCCGTTCAATTTTTTATTCTTCTTCTTGAATGTTTTTGATATTTGCCATTGCTTTTACTTTTACCGCAGGCGAATGTGGTTTTAAAGAAGAAAAAAAAAGTATATATATATATTGGCAAACACAGTCTATTATGTGTGAGGAATATCATTCGGTTTATTCATCGCTGCTGATCATTTGTATCACAAAAAATGACTAATGTGTGTGTGTGTGTCTGCAGGGGCGTGAATGTATTCTGCAATATTATAAAGAGATAGACAAAAAAATGCGAATATACTTTACGTACATCTTTTTCTAGTATACATGGTGTTCAGCTTGCAAACTTTGATTTGACTAGCATTTAGTTGAAATAAAAATGGAACGATTTAAATGTAAAATAAATCAGAAAGCACTGGCACTTTCCTTAATGTTCGTCGTTTTGTTTGTGAGAATGAAAATCAGACGCACTTTAATAGAATGTACACACGTTTTCTGTGTCTTTCTCTTTTCGACTGCTTCCCTTTTTTTTCTCTCTTTTGTTCACAAATGTTGCACCCCGGTGTACAGTATGCGAGAAAAAAATGTCCACAATGATTTCCTTTTTAAGACAAATCGACACACCACAAAAAAACGTGTTTATGTGTATGTGTCACGGTTATATAGCGAGTCTTCTTTTATATCGCCTTAAATTTATTGTTTAATTTTTGCTCGTTAGAATCGTTTTTATGATTTATTTTAATTTGCTTTTGTTTTTTTCTTTGTGTGTGTGTGTGTGTGTGTTTCAGATGATGTTGATTTTTTCGGTCCGAAGATCGCCGTTATCATTATTATTTGTCTTTTTTTATATCGCTCATTTCGTGAACAAATAATTTTTTTAATATATTTTTTTGACAGTCAGTTAGAGCAAAGATAATTCATTGGCACTGTCAATTCATCCAATGCCATTATTGAATAAAAGATAATATAGCGGGCATACTCTGTAAAGTATGCATGCACTGATACACACAGACCCTTTCACTCGCCGCATTTACTATGCACGATGATGATGATGATGATTTTGGCTGACGGAGTCTCACATTCACTCATTCATTTTTTTAAAATTCTTTTTGAGAGCGATCTTACAAAGTACACATCATCACTTGTTCTGCAACACGAACAAAACGAAGAAGAAAAAAAAAACTGATAGAAAATAGAATTTATGGTATAAATATGATACCGTCACTTGACAATTTTTATATCTTGCTTAATTCATCCAAATCGTTTGATAATCAACTTCTCTCTTAGATCCACCTTTTTTTATTAATTTATAGAACAATTTTTTTATGGTAAAATGTGGTCTCTTCACAAGAAAAAGCTGACTTCATTAAAAAAAAGACATATGAAATAAAAAACGAATCTTTGTCTCTAACTCTCTTTGCCTTACACACTGCAATAACACGTTTCACAAATTTTAAAAAAAAAATGAATGTCTTATATTATTAGACCGTCTTTGTCAAACCTTACAATTTAATAAAATAGTATATATATAAAGACGAGAGATCACCACAAAAAAAACAGAGTATTATATATAGCACTTTGCTGCTGATGAAAATTTCCGATGTTTATTCAATTACAAAATGAGAATTTAACAGAAAAAAAAATCAATAAATATTTTTAGTGAAATTGAATTGAATGCAACACACAATTTTCCGAGAAATTGAAAATATTCGGTGAAATATTTTCGCGCGGGTAGTACGGCCACCATGTGGCTTTGCACTAAATAATTCTTTTTTTCATATTTCGTATTCTCTTCTTCTTCTTTTTAGATTTACGATTCGGCTCTTTTCTTCACTGCTAAAATGTGCGGTTTCGTCTCTCACATAAGTTGAAGTATGACATACACGCGATATTTTCACACATGCACTGTATCCGCACACACACACACATACACGTTCTGTATACATACACAAGACATACACACGCACATTCACCGACACATTGTTCAAATACAAAGAGGCCGTACACATTAACTTACATTCTTCCTAAAAATGTGCTGTCAACACAAAAGAGCGACAAAGAACAATACACAGACACCGAAATATATACATACACACACAAAATGAATGTCCATATTCGAATAATTCTTTCTTTGCTGCCTGAACCATATTTATGTGAGTGAAGAATGAATAGATTTTGACTGGTCCTGTTTAAAATCGATTTTACTTCTAAGTATTGCCAAATGCTAACGATGAATTCAATTATAAAATATAAAAGGGCATACAAAAGAAGAGGAAAATGAAAAAGAAGAAGACGAAAAAGAGCAGAAGAACAGCAAAAAAAAAACGTGTTCAAAGGTGTGCAAATGCATTTTGGGAAAATGTGCGGCGCACACAAATACATTTACAAACATGGATGAATGTTGGTATAGGTAAATCACAGTTTTGACAGTGTGTGCGCACGTTGTTAGACTTGACAACGAATCAAATGATCTGATGTTCGGTTTACATTTCAATATGAAGTTTAAATTTCGTATAGAACATGGACTGATTCGAACAGTTTTCAATATTGCCGTCTTTTTTTCGAATTTTTTTTTACTGCAACATTTTGACATAATTTCTTCAAATAAGGATAGATGTAAATGCAAATTCGAGGCTGCCATTCTCAATGACATTTTTTTCTCTCTTTCAATTCATATACATGACATTTTGCGTTCGCATTTTTTTTCCAAATGTCTTTCAATTCATGCGATATTTGCATAAAATAAGCAATAATTTAGCTCAAAACCTGAACACCAGTACTAGCTTGATCAAGTATAACACACATCTGTTAGTATCTATTAGGAGAATTGGCGAGCCGGAAAGCAATATATCTATATAACCACACTTTATGTAAACGGGTATCGCTTACACTAATACACACGCACGCACACACTCGTGTGCGGTCACAATGCATACATATGTGCGCTAGTATGTGCGTATTGAAATTCCGGAACCGCACACCAAGACTAGCTTATATCTATGGTCAGAGTAGCAACAAGAAGACCGATAAAAATGGACTGATTATTAATGAGTTGACAGCGCTTAGCAGCAATAAAATGTGAAATCATTTGCTGTAGCCAAGCATTGAGCTGACTGCAAAAAAAAAGTTAATTTAACAGTCGAATGTGAAAAAGAATTCGCAACAATATCATATTTTTTACACATTCTCTTAGTTCACCTTTTGTTCGACTTCATTCCTATCAACACAATCCGGCTCCATATTCTGGTTGTGTGTATTTTTCTCAGTCTATCTTAAGAGACTTGTTCTCTCACATTGTGTGTGAGATGTCGGTAAATTGGCCGAACTTTATGTGTGCGTGAATGTGCGAAGTGCACACACGTTATACGAATTGGCTCATAAAAAAATAACCATTTAGATTGTCACATTCATTCCGACCATGGTTCAATTTCAATGATGATTCTCTGACAAAAATATGCGGCTCATATATTAATAAATATATGCAGTAAAAATGGACTGTGTCAATGAAATTGTCGATAAAGAGCCGACTATATTGTTTGTATATATATTTTAATTTATTAATGAGTGCGCATTCGATTCTCGTAATTAAATAACTATGTTAATATTTATATTCAATAATTACCGAATGCGACTTTGGTGATGCAAATTTGAAAAAGAATTTAATGATTCTGTACGTAAAATTCAATGAAATCATAGGCACACACGTACACGCATATCCAAAATCGAAATTAAAAGAAACAATTAAATCGAAACACTTACCTTTGTGTTCACTTTCAATTGACACCTTTGGTGCGGCCTGGTTATTTTTCACCCATTCATTATTTGTGGAACTTGATGAATTGCCTAACGATGCAACTTTTGAGTAATTATCACACGTAGAGCTATCTGTATTCGTTTTCTCGGCTGATGGCGTCTGCCATTCAGATGACTTGTTACTGTAACGACAAAGAAAACAAGAATTTTCCAATTTTAATTGAACGGAAAATTGGCTTCGGTGTTTTTTGTTTTTGATATTTTTGAATGCGATTGGAATTCAATCAGTTGGTATATTATTTATTTTACTTTTTTGAACAAATGAATTTTGCTATTCAACGTACCTTCGTTTGACATTTTTCGACTGTTTTGGCATTATATCAACCGACGGACCGTCAGCAATAGCTGAAACAACTGGTGTATGTGGCGGTTCTTCTGTACTACTCGTTTCCATTGGAACCTCAACACTTGAATGATCACTTGTTGATTGTTCCGGTTCATTTGTTGTATCACATGCAGGTTCATTTGACGATTTCTACAATTGAATTTTTTTTATATATTTAACAATTTTAGCACATTCATTTGGAATCATTCTTCTTTTCAATCAGAATCGTTTACGGAATGAAGGAAAAATAGTGAGCAAAAATACAAACCTGGCTCTGTTGTTGTGATTGATTCGGAATTTGTGAAGTTGGTGCTTCGATTTTTAATGCCGCTGAACCGGAGCTATGTTGCGTGGAAACTTTACTCTCTGGTACTACTTCTTCATTTGTAGTCGGATTTATGATTGGAATACGTTTTGAAGCTCGCTTCTGCACTTGAGTAGTTTCACTCGCCTGTGAATATAAAACAATTTAGAATTATTTTTGGCATTTTTTTTTTCGTTAAATTACTACTAGAAATTTAATTCTTTGGTTATTGCTTTTGAAAACAAACGAGAAAAAAAATAAATTACCGGTTGTGAACGTGGCTGTAACGTTGGTACGTATGAGGTAACGCCTTGTGCTAAATGAAGTTGACCTAATTGATGTGGAGCTTGCTGGTGTGATGGAATTTGTGAACTCCCTCCAGCAGCAACACCAGCATCTGTAATTGAAAAAGTGAGAGAATTTTTCATTAATTTAAAATACCAATTTTAAAATGACATCATAGAATGTTTAGCACCATTCTGATTCGTATTATGGGATTTGTTTTGAATTTGGACAAAAATGAAAAAAAAATTATATAAAATGCTTACTCATTGAAGGCATGTGTTGAGGATTCGTGGCGCCAGTCCCTCGTGAAATCTGTGGTTGCAAGGTTTGCATATAATATTGCTGATGATAATAGCTCTGTGGAACGCCCTTTACACCCGAACATAAAATTTAATGCGATGAAGCGAAAAGGGGAGAAATATCAATTTATCGTTCATATTAAAATTCATCGTAATAAAAAAAATTAAATTTGAATAAAATACATACCGTATTCTTATGTTGCAAGAAATTTGGATTATTTTGGCCGTATGCGGTAAATACTTGCGGGTGTGTCAAATAAATAAACCCTTGTTGAGAAGGTACGGCAGTTTGATGAGTTTGAGCCATTTGCTGGTTTTGTTGCTGTTGACGATTCACAACCATGTTGTTCATTCGCGTTGGTTGTGTTGGTATACGTTGCCCTTGGCCCCGTACCATTTCTGTAATTATAATAAAACGAAAAAAAAAAATATTTTAAATATTTGTTCCAATTTAAAAATCGTCGAATTTTCAAATATCTTGTGGCAAGCTGGAGTAAATAGAATCAATATTTAATGAAATACATACGGTAAGGGTGGCTCGAGTGGAATTGTTGTTGGGAGGGTTGCTGTTGTGGCTGCATTTTGTGATCTTGACTCTGTTGCGATGTCTGCTGATTTTGCTGCTGTTGCTGAAACAAATCAATATAAACATAGATATGAATAAATTTGTCATCTACTTTCTGTGATTCGTCCACTTTTTAACGCCAAACTCATTGAATCAATCAATTTACACTCAAATTTAATATTATTTTGAAGATTTTTTCCCGGAAATGTAAATTAGATTTTTTTTTGAATATTTACACGTCCTTCACAGCATTTTTTTGATTTCAAAAAACGCTCATATCAAGTTTTGATAATAGAAAAAGCTTGATTTTTCATAACATTTGAGGTTATGTTACATATGCTGGATAAAACCAGCCTACTTTCAATCAAACGCATTCGTAAAAATGACAAATATTACGAAAATTTGGTAAAACGTATAGATTTCGATCAATAATATCACATTTATTCATTGATTTCGTGACTGAACTGTCTTCTGACATTTTCAATCCCATATGTTACGTCAAGAGTGTATTCAAATTGCAAATATTTGTTGTATATTCATCGGAAGTCGGTGTTTTAATGGAACAAAACAGAAATTATGCGGCAGATTTTTTTCGCTTATTTAAACATCGAATTGAAAAAAAATTGTAACTGCCCTTGGAGAAATTATATTTGCATTGTGTGTTTAAAAAAAATGAATGAATATACTTAAAAGAGATATAAATAGCCTTGTGTTTCGGAAGTTCAATACTTTATCTTGATTTAAATCATAATGTTGATGGGCTGTCATGTGCTGTAGTGCAACATTCGTGTTTGACTATAATTTGTTGCTTTGCATAGAGAGTAAAATTGTGAATTAGAGATTGCCGAGAGCTGAGAATTAGCACGTCTGTCAAATAAAAACAAACAATGAACTCAAAAATGTCATGTTCAAAAAATAGCACACAATTGTAAAACATTTTTTTGAGCAAAACTCAAATTGCAAAAACAACAACGAAAGCAAATCAAAACAGCCATTGTATTTTGGCATCACTTATGTTTTTTCGTCATCGAGAAAAAAGAAACGAATCTGAATTGAGGCGATTTCAATGAAAAATGATATGTGAATCATATTTTGAGCATTTATTCTCGGACGAATCTATTTATTTATTTATTTTGTCACTCAACAGATATGCTTACCCCTATTTGACAAACAGATTGTCGATCCGAAGTTGAATGTGCAGTGGGTGGTTGCGGTGGCACACTTTGTGAATAGTTCACACTCGGCTGCGTCACATGATAGTTATTATCTGCAAATTTAAATGTAAATATTAAATTAGCACCACCGCAATTTGAAATTGGAATAAAAAAAATTTAACTACAAAATGTAGGTCATTCAACATAAACAAATTATATTCATCTAACTAAATTTTTAAATTAAAAATAAAATATAATTTTTAATTTGATTTGAAAATGGTAAATCTTAGTTAAAGTCAAGAACTTAACCAAAACCAGAAATATGATTTTGGAAGTTAACAAGAAAAAAAAACTTCAACTTCAATTTAAATTTAAAAAATAAATATAAAAAAAATTCTACGAAAATGTAATTGGAATATCTAAATTACAACTTATAAAACGCCCGACGTATGTTCAGATCAAAAATTTGGCATTATTCATTTGTGCGAAAAACCAAAACTTAAGTTTAAACTACAGAAATCAACAGAAAAAAATCGAATTCAGTTGTTGGAAAATGTTAAAAATGTTCCATAACCAAATTGATTTTATCGACGGTTGCGAAAGAAGAAACAAACAAAAAAAAATGTCGATAACATTTTCAATGTGTGCTATGTATGTGTGTTACTTACTGGCATGAGGCAAACGAAAATTACTATGAGGTATTGTTACATGCTGTTGATGCGACCCTGGCGGAGCTTGTATCGTGTAATCCGAACTAACTAATTTATTTTTCTGCTGTTGCAACTAAAAAATCAAAGGTTGACAATGTAGAACAGAGTCGTGAGTGAGTTATCATGTACAGAATCGAGATAAAAGTGAAAGAGAGAGAGCGAGAACGAGAAGAAACCGAACGATGGTCGACGTCAAACCAACTGCACACACACACATATATACTCAAATTCTTTCTCTTCTCGAAACCGATAAGAGCAAGAAAAAGAGAATGTGATATGGTCCAACATATAAGCAAACTAAGCAAAAATCCAAAATGTGGATGCGTCGTTGATTATATGTCATCATTGAATGAGCCGCCAAAATGGATCTCGAGTCTGTGATAACTAACCTGTTGTTGTTGCTGTTGCTGTGACGAAACGTTAGCTAGTGTGATTTGGGGTTGATTTTGTTGATCATATTTATTTGAATTTGTTTGCTATTTGTGAAAAAGATTTATGATATATGAGTTAAAGAGTAGAGAGTACGGACACTGAAATGGGTTTTCAGTCAATTTAACACAAGATGAAAATAATTAAATGGTAATGAGTAATTTGTGTATGTGTATTTTGTAACAAAAAAAATTTTTTGCTTTCTAAATGCGACTTACTGGTGGCGCTTTGTCGTATTTATTTGTATTTGCTGTTTGTCGATTGATAACATTTGAACTATTAGCACCGGCATGCGGGGGATGTGTGTTCGACGGCACGCCGTAATTCTGTGTATATGAATGTCTTGACATTTCGGTAATCAGCTAGAGAAAAAAACTAATAACTAAAAGACGATGTCTCTCTATGTGTGTTTGAGTGTGTGTGTTTTTTTTTTTGCTTTGTGTTCCCGTCTTCGTCGGGATCGATGCTTATATTATATATGCTTGATTGATTTTTCTCTTTCTGGCTTCTGTTGCTCTCTTATCTTCTTATTTTTCTCCTCTCAGGCAAAAAACTTGTATCGTACTACTTTCCGATCGATTTTTAAATCGTTTTCACTACATGTTATCTATCTGCCTTTTATTTACCGGCTAATTTCTCAATGTTTTTTTTATTTATTGTTGCAATCGCAATTATTATCGATAATATTATATTATTACTATTATTACGTTTGTTATTTGCATTTCTTCAAACGAAAAAAAAATCACTAAACTTTTCTTTTTAAATATTCGTTATCGCTTTGCACTTTTAGTTAAGCATACTTTATTTTTAATGTTTCAACACTTTCGTTTATTATCCCGTTTATATAAATTATGTTCAAAAAATTTTTTTTTTGTTTCCTAAAAATGGGTGAGTTTCAACTTTTTATCTCTTTGAGTAGTAAGTGTTTTTAAATATTAGTGTCGCGTGTGTCCGTTCAAAAATTAACATATTCGAATAACACAAAATAACTAAAGACTGCAACAGTGAGAGAAAAGAAGAAAACTAAACAGGTAAAAAAAAGAACAATTGGTCACAAAGGGGGAAAGTTCGTGAAACTCACACACACAATGTAAAACAAATGTGCGAGTGTGTGTGAATGTATGTGTTTTTGCTTATTTATATATTTAAATTTATATATATATATATTTCGAGGTGAAAATGAACAAAAATAGATTGATCTTTCTTGTTATTTTTCTTTTATTTGTATTTAATTATTATTTTGTTGTTTAAACTTGTTTAAAATGTTCTTGTTATTATCGATTGGTATCAACTGCACTGATTGTTCGTAATTTTTAACAAATTTTTTTTATTTTTTATTTTAATTCAAATTACACTGCCGGTATTGATGCGTGGAACACACACAAAACAAACAAAGAACCAAGTGTCCCATTCAGGTGAGATGTGACTTGTTGAATGGTTGAACTCTGAATGATGTCCAAAATATCATTTGAATCGGTAGGTACAATTGTCTCTCAGGATTTGTGTCGTACTCTTGAGTTATTCCGTGCTGAAGCTCACGTGTCGATAAGTATTGGTGTGAGACATACCATGTCTACTTATTGCCTGATGAGTGTTCGGTTCTTGTTATTAAGTGCATCTATCTCTATTTATTTTCTTTTGTTTTGTTCTCTGCGTCTCTCGTTTTGAATATTTGTGTCAACCGATTGTGAACCGACACCGACAATGTTCGATAACGACAACGACAACACCACTGTCTGTTCAACAGAACTTTGGAAACTTTCAAACCTTTTGATGCTTTTAGCTAATTAGTTGATGTTTGGTGTTTTCTCTTCTCGTTTTTGCATGAAAGGCAGTCAATATGGACAAAAATCGATTTGTATATGTATTGGTTTGTTAATGTATTCTATGTATATGTTGTTATGTTTCGTTTAGTGGCGAAAATTCAAAAAAATCTTTTGAATCTGCTAAAACGATGATCCACCGTATGTCCTTCTATATGTATAATTTATATATAATCGATTTTTGTTTGTTTGTTTTAATTTAATGTTTTATTTTGTTGTTGTTGTTTTTTTTTCTATTTAAATAGCACCGTTTTGATTACTCTTTTCTCTTCTACTTTCTTCGGCAACACATTCGACCAAATTTAAATTTGTTCGAAATTTTGACGTTGCACGTACGTTTTTTTGACTCGATTTTTTCCTTTTCAAAAGGGTTCACCGATGTGTATGTGTTGTATTGTTGTGTTTAGCAGCATTTAGCAGCAATTGATGCCTTTTGTCGATTACGTATATGATTTTTTTTTCTCAATCAATCAATTCTTTCCTTACGAGATTATTTAGCAAATATTAGATATAATTTTGTTAATTATTTCTTTTCTTCTTTAACATTAGTTATCAAATACACAAATGTTTATGTTGTGTATAGTTTTTTGTTTGCGTTTTATGCGGTCTTGATTTGGTTTACACTGCAAATGAAAAACGAGAATGGAAGAGAGAGAGAGAGAGAAGAGAAAAACAAGAAATCCAAATGCATTAGACAGAGAATAATTTCTATTTTGAGTTTTTAGACCAAGTAACATAGAAACAAGAAGAAAAATATATACCAGATACATTTTCTTTTCTGCATTACTTTTCCAAAAATCAAAAAACAAAAAATAAAAACACAATTCAACAAAGTCTACAATAAACAAATAGCAAAAACAAAAGCAAAATAATTTGAAATATAATAAAGAAGAAATTGGTATTACACAATATGAAACCGTAAATGGTTCGCCGGTTATTCTTCACTTCAATAGTTTTCGTATATGAACAAATGACGGAATTAGTATATTCAATCATTTTCGAATTGTTGACAGTTGGCGATCATCGATCGCAGAATATGTACTGTTGCCTGCGATCATAAAATTGCAACAAAAAATAAATGAATAAATAAAAACAATGCGCTTAGGAAAGTATATCGGGTTGGTTCGGCTTGACAGTGCACTAATTTGTAGTATCATGCAATCGGCTATGTAAAGATTGATCGGAATCAACTATGCGATGAGCCGCTAGCAAGTTAGCAAGCGAAGGAAATGGGGAGAGAGAGAGGGAATTTGACCAAACAAAATGAAATATAGATGGAGACGATCGCGAAGCCGTTTTGCGTTGCCATCACCAGCAATAGCTTCATCCTGCTACACACTATGCTTATGTGTGTGTATGTGTGTTTTTCTCTCTCTTCTAGTATGCGAAATATTTGAAATCGCCAAATGAATAAAGAAAATGCGCGCCTAACAGCAAGGCAATGGAATGGAGCAACAATTAATAATGTAGCATTTCTGCTTCGATGCACATTAAGAATCAGGTCTGTTCAATGAGTGTTCAATTGTGGCACGCAAAACGCATACCAGTACATTCAAAGACATTGAGCGAAAGAGTGAGATTTAGAGAGAGAAAAAAGAAGGTGTTGTGTATGAGGAAATGATGGCTCATTACTTAAACTGAATGTATCTTTATTATAATTATGATTTTCGGTTTAATCAAGAAGTGAGAAATCATGTGATGCACCTTAAATCATTTCGTTTTGACATGTTCATAAGCTAGAACTGAGTGTTTTCGATTCTTTGAGATCATCATCAGACAATTAATTAGTGAAATTCATTATTAATACACTCACTTTCCGTTATTCTAACTGCACTACATTCGCCAATACCATTTTTTTCCTTCTTGTTCTCAATCTTCTCAATCTTGAGAAGTTCAAATAAATCTTCTTTTTTTTCTGCTTCGTGTTGAAAATGAAGCAGAGAACAAAAAGAAACGAGTGAGAAAATGTGCACCCATTTCGATTGGGTTGAAATAAATACAAAGAAGTAATTAATGTCAAAATTGGTTATATTATTCGGCGAAAAGCCGCATCATGACAATTAGGTGATGCTTCTAGGCAATCACTGGGCGATGAAGGCTTGTGGCGATTTTTCGAATGTAATTAGCAAAATATTACTATTTTATGGTACTTTCGATGTTTCTATCACTCATATAATTGCTCTCGCACTGTCTGCCGCATTGTAATATATCGATAGTGACGTGACGGTAGCCGCACACAACAGTAATGACAGCGAGCATGAGGCGACATCAACAACAGTGACGACGATGACGGCCCAGTAATCGTACAAAATAGAATTCTGTCAAATTGATTGCCATAGCCAATGGCACAGGGAAAGTAAAACCATAAAATGGTTTGACAAAACAACAATTTTTTTTTTTTTCAAATCCAATCTAATATGTCATGAATTTACGCCCAACACAAATGCGGTACATTTGCAAATATACTCACTAACACGTACCAAAAACAGCTGCAATTTTAGTTTGAGCGCATGAAAATTGGATTTGTGTACGTATACATATGTAATGTATGTTCTTGTGTGTACGTGCATATTTTGCGACACATTCAATCGGCTTGATCATGGGTTTTTTTTTCTTCTCTTCTTCTTCACACTTGAAAAATGAAAAAGTAAGGAATGTGCTTTCTATCTATATAACCTTTTTTTTTGCATTTTTGTTTGTTTGTTTGTTTGATTTAGTTTTTGGTGAAAAAGAATGTGCGAACAAAGGGAATTTCCCCCGAAAACCAAGACGATTTAGTTCAAACGAAAGACAAATGGAATTTCACAAAAGGAAACAAATAGACACAGAGGAAAGATCACCATTCTCAAATCAACGAACGGCAAAGAATGAGACAACGCACATCGAGAAACGAAGAAGAGATGAAGCAAAAAAAAAAAAGAATTTGACGAGACCATGTGGAGATGTGTTTTTTTTTCTTTTCTTCTTCGTTGTTTCCTTCAGTGTCTTCTTTTGTTTGCAAAATTGACCGAGCGCGCACACAATATGAAATTGAAAATATATATATTGTATTTCAGGCGCAAACCCAAATGTACATGTATTTGTGTCTGACTATGAAAGAAAAATAAAATTAAAAGCAAAAAAAAAAGAAATCGACGTAGAAAAATTGGCACATTACCGTTTAATCGTGCACTACTGAATCATGCCGACACAATGCGTTGCGAAAAATGACACGTACACAACGGAACGGCATCAATAGCAATGGTTACCGACACACAATTAAATACAACAACAAAATGAAGAAGAAGAACGACGACGACGACTACTACGAAGACAAAGATTTCATTGAATATACAATGGAATGTTCGTTTGCATGATATATTTATAAGATAATTGTTGGTTTTTACAAATATTTCGATAAATGATGTGTTAGTGTGTGTGTTTGGTTGTTGGCTGTTTTTCGATGTTCATTGAAGAACATCGTATACGTGTGAACGGATGTGATTGCCCTTTTTCCATTTAGGGGGATGCGGAAAATTACTCACGACATTTTCGATTGTGCATACGACGACACACCATGTAAATTGTGTGTAGTACAATGCACAAAAATTGCGATATCTGATATGTAACAATTGATCACAATTAGTTGAAGTTACGATTAGCGCACAAACGTCATAGACATACTAATAATAATGAAAATCTTCGGTGGCCATGGCTAATGTAAGTTTTTTCCTCTCCTTCGCCAAGTAAACCAAGCAAGTGGAACGTCGTCGTCGTCGTCGTCGTCGTCGCATGAGTTTGGAATTTGTCTTTTTCTACATATTTGCTGTTGTATGCGAGGTTTTTTTTCGTTTGCTACTGCTGCTGTTTCTTCTTCTTTTTCTTTATAGTTTTTTTTTTCGCCATCAAAGTTTTATCGCCTTTATCGCTGGTGCACACACCATAAAACTAAAACTCTTTCATTTTTCCCACATTGCGATAATGTACCTGCCATACCAGTGCTGTACCATACGATATACACTATGCACCGTGCACATTGGAATAACGCCGTATGAAATGTCGTTGCAGAGTGAGCGAGACAATGAATTCGGTGCACAGTGAACAGAAATAAAGGAGTGAAGAGAGCGAGAGAGAAGAAGAAGAAGAAGAGGAAAAATTTGCGTTTGTGTATTTTTTCTCTCTTCATATTTTGGTTTGATTGTGAAATTTATCAATTACACTCCAATCTTTTCCTTTCATTTTTTTTTTAAATTTGCCGAATCAACGTAACATACACAAAAGAAAACTATTGAAATTAAGCAGTTACCCGAACAAACTACGGAAATAAGAATGAGCCTCAATTGTGGAAAAATGAAGAACACCAGAAATTTGTTCAAAGTGAAATATAATATATATGCTTTTGAAATGTAAATTTTTCATGTTGATTATTACCAGCAGCAGATAATCAGGATTTTTTTTATATTATTATATACATATAATAAATGTGATTTGTTGTCGCCGATTTTTTTCTCTCTTCTTTCGTATTTTTTTTTTTTTTTTTGTAATATTTTCTTCACTAAAAGAAACTAATGATATTTCAGCAGCTTGTCGATACTTATGATTATTTTTTATATTCCATTTGGAATCGCGGTTAGCCCGTGCTCTCAATCAATGTGCATGTATATATCACTTCAATATCGTGTCGAATTTTTCACATTTGTCCTTCTAAAACTTATTTTTTCTTTCCTTCTTCGATTGTATGCATATACATTAGTAATAATAATTTATTTTGCATTCGTTTCTCTTTTATTTATTATTTTTCTAACTTGTTTTGCTTTGCATTTCACGTTTTTTTTATTTTTCACACATCACTTTATAGCTGAATATTATGTTTTCACTTCGGTTTCGTGTGTGCAATGTTACAATAACTATAAATTAATCTAAATGTTATGTGTGTAACACGATTGAATATAATTTTTGCCTTCCTTTTTTTATATATATATAGATATTCTTCTTGGAATATTCATTCGATGGCAAATTGCATCAGTGTCTGTTTTTGTGGATAATCGTTTGTCTTTATTTTCAATTCAATCGAAATAAATTAAATAGAAAAACACAGAATCTTTTTTTTTACAAAAGAACACTGTTTCGCTTTTATTAAGTGACTTCTTCAATAGCTTGATGCGTTCACGTCAAAATCAGCCATTTTGATTTAAAACATATTTCTCGTTTTTTTCCCGTGTCTCTTTTTCTTGAATCGTATTACGTCTGTATTGTATGTGGTAGTAAGCGATTTTTTTTATGTAGTAGTGTCGCATGTTTTCTTGCTTTGGCATTCGTTCATTTTGCCGAGAACCACACGTTTCAATGTGTGCTGTGTGCAAATGTACTGGTATGAATTCGTTTTATTTGTACAAATGAGTTATACGCATTGACTCCTCACGTACCACTTTTGATATTCGGCGAATGTATTTTTGTTTTCAATATGGTTTTTTGATTTTGAAATGAATACCATCCAACACATTTTTGTCATATCTGTATTTTAAATTTCCGAATAAAACAAAAAAAAATGTGTTTTTTGCTTCAAATAAATGGGTGGTTGGTGCATCAAACTCATTGTCTAACATGAACCAAAGTGCACACAATGATTTCTTTTCAATCCAGCATGAGCACCACACACACACACACACACACACACACACACACACACACACACACAC